GCTGGGGCTGGGGCGGGAGGCTCAGGGGCTCCGTTCTCTGGGGAGGGACTCTCCTTGGCCTGCTTCTGCCTTCTCTCCTTGAGCCAAGTCATGAATTCCTTACACAGCCATGGCTCCTGCGTCCCTGGAAGGACATCAGAGTTACAGGAGCCCCGCGAAGAGGGAATGTTTTCAATTTGCTTCTGTTGCAAAAAATGCACAGGCTCAGATCAGTTAGCCACAATGCTTCGGAAGGTCATGAGCTGGAAATGAAGCCGCAAGGAGATCTGTGTCTCCCATATGTTCATCTCACTTCTCCGCTATTGCTGGGACAAAGCGGACTTTTGTTCTCTCTCTCTCTCTCTCTCTCTCTCTCTCTCGCTCTCGCTCTCGCTCTTGCTCTCTCTCCTGGAACTTGTGAATCTTTGTTTCTTGAACCTCTGTCTTTTCCCCTTTCACTTTCTAGTCTCTTTCTTCTCCCTCCTTTTGTCTCAGCCCACACTTACCAAAATATAAAATTGAATTATCAGCAGACTTCAGGGTTCTATTTTTAATAGTGTCATGTTCCAGGTCCTTAATTTTTAAAGTGAATGATGAGAACATTTCCTTTTTCTCCCAAGACTGAAATGCCTTTTACTGGTGGATCTTTCCGTTGGATTTATCTGTTGGTCAGAGCCCTGTGGTAGAGAAAAGCTTCCGTTTCCTTCCTAAGAAGTCAGACTCAGGGCGAAATTAAGCTGTGAGAACAGTTCAGGGAAAGTCTTGGACGAGAGCAAAAGTTGGTTTTCAAGGAGGCACGGCTCTTTGGAGCAGGGCCCTGACAGGGACGTCAGCGGCACCTCCTGCATCAGCAGCTCCCGGGCTGCTCCCGGACCTGGCTGCCCCAGACACTGGCTGCGGGGTGCCTCTGAGGGAGCTGTGATGAGCGTGTGGGGGGATGGAGGGCACTGTGGAGAAAGTTGACACATTTGGGGCTTAGTTGACACATTTTTAAATATGTGCTTGTTGTTTTGCTAGAATATAAATGAGCTGGACCCTCCCAGCCCTCCTCCCACATCCCCCTCTACTTGCTCCCAGGCCTCCAGGAGCCCCCCCCCCCACTTCCTGCCCTCTGCCCTGGGCTCTCTGGGTCTCGGCTCTTCCCACTTGACAAGTGGTCCAGAAAGGATGAAATGGAGACAGACAGACAGACCGACAGTGATAGCCCCACCCCCAGCAGTATCAGCTGGAACAGTCCGCCCCCTTCCCTCCGCACCCCTAATCTGGCGCACTCCTTACCAGGCTTGGGGCGCGGTGGGGGAGGGAGGGTTGCTCTCCAAACCTTCAGTGGAGCCTATTTGGATGGATGAATGAGCAGTGAGCAGACGGACAGAAGAGATGTGGTTGGCACATGTCTGGCTGAGGCCACCTTCAGTGGAGCCTATTTGGATGGATGAATGAGCAGACGGACAAAAGAGATGTGGTTGGCACATGTCTGGCTGAGGCACTGTTTGTGTATTTATACAATGCATGTCAGTCCTCGAATCTCCTTTTCTAATGGCCCAAACCTCTGGAAGCTGCTTTCCGGGCAGCAGGGCCTGTCCCCGCTCCCACTCTGCTAGGACACGCCTATTTTGGATAAGTTGAGCAGAGATTGGAATCCCAGGTTTCCTCTCCCTCTGTCACCCCCGGACACCTCCAGGCCCAGGTCGGCCCACCCCTGAGAATTCCAGGTGGATGACAGGTGTCCCAGGCCCAATTGCTTCCTCACAGACACCTCACTGTCCTCCTGGGCCTGCCAGGGCCAGCTTTGGGGAGTTCGGGGGGATCAGGATGCTTTGTTGGGTGAGCTCTAGGATCTTGGCAGACTTCTGGGCTCCAGGCTGTGCAGAGAAGAGAGGGGCAGCTGCCTTAACCCCTGAGCATCTGGTTAGGCACCTGGGGATGAGAAACGCCACACGTGTGGGCCCTGCCCACAGGCTGATACATCTGTGTTGCTCTCACAGAAAGAAGAGAAGGCCATGATCGCCAAGATGAATCGCCAGAGAGCCAACTCCATCGGGCACAACCCGCCACACTGGGGAGCCGAGCGCCCCTTCTACAACCACCTGGGCAGCAACCAGGTGTCCAAGGAGATGAAGCGGATGGTGAGTGACTGGCAGGGCAGTGTGCGGGCAGCCCTCTCCAGGGATGGGCCTCCTGTGGGTGAGGCTGGGCCCGGCCCCTGGAGAGCCACAGAACAAACGCCTGGACATGGGGCTCACCCACCTTTGGACTAGGAGCCAAAATGCCTGCCTTCTTGCCCCGGGCTCCCTCCCCCACCATCTCTTGGCAAGCTGAGTTGAGCTCTGGGACTTTGTAAGCCCACACTTACCATCGCCCTTTCCTCCTTCCTTGCGGCAGAGCTTACTGGCAGGGGCTGGAAGCAGACCTAGCTGACTGGGCCCAGGGTGAGGCCCTGGGGGGTTGGGGGGCTTCAGCTTGTCAGAGGTTCTTCCAGCACCTGCTGCATTTCCCAGGCCACTGAACCCCACCCTTTGACTCAGATGCTCCGAAACCATCTCAGTGCTTGTTGGCAAGTGCCAGGTGATGGTCCCCTTGGCCCACTGTGCGGAGAAACACTCCTCTCCCTGCAGCCAGCTGGTGGGGGCATGCAGGCTGCACGCGTGGAGGCCAGCATAGGGTTCTACCCCCATCGCAAGGGACCCTGCCTGCCTCGGGGGACAGACACCCCCAGCGTCCCTGCACACACCAGGGAAGAGCTAATGCAGGAGGTGTTGTCCAGGTTCAGTCCAGATGATGGAAAGGAATTCTGAAGGTGGAAAGAAGACAAGGGTGACAGAAGTCAGGTTACAACAACCGTGTTTCTTTCCTTTCCTTTCATCCCAGAGCTCAAGGGCAGCCTGGCTTCCAGGTAGAGCCACCCGCGCAGGGATCCCAGTGTGGCCACGTACCTGGGGCCTGTGCATTAGGACCCCAGCTGGGGTCTGTGGGCCAGACTAGGCTTCAGCTGCAGCAGGAGGGGTTACAGACTCCATAGGAATTCACAGACAGAGCCAGGGACCTGAGGGAGGGGACAGCAGGGGACGGTCACTCTCCTTGCTAGCTAGCAAGGAGCAGACGACAAAGGCTTAAGGAAAGTGTACAGGGGAAACAATGAATTGGGTCAAGACCTCTATTTCACTTTTTAAAAAATAATTCTTTTTTAGTCCTCACCAAAGGATATTTTTATTGATTATTTTAGAGGGAGGGGAAGGGGAGAGAGAGAGAGAGAGAGAGAGAGAGAGAGAGAGAGAGAGAGATATGAGAGTGAGACATCCATCAGTTGCCTCCTACACATGCCCTGACCAGAGAGAGAGAGAGAGAGAGAGAGAGACATGAGAGACATGAGAGTGAGACATCCATCGGTTGCCTCCTACACATGCCCTGACTGGGGGTTGAACCTGCAGCCTAGGTATGTGCTCTGACTGGGAATCAAATCCACAACCTTTTGGTGTTCGGGACAACGCTCCAATCAACTGAGCCACCTGACAGGGGTCATTTTACTTTTGATGGTAAAGAATGAACCCACAGGACACCAAGGTTATGAGGGAGCAGAGTTGTCCCCAGAGCTTTGAACTTGGAGGTTCACAGACTGGTCAGTGTTGCCCAGGGCTCCAGCCACCGCCCCCCTCTCTCAAGGGCCCTCCCAAAGCAAAGAGCAGTTGGTGCCCCCTCCCTGTGTTCACCCAGCCCTAATCTCCTGCAGGCTCTGTACCAAGGATGGGCAAGAGGGGTGGTGGGGAGAGGAAAGGGGGAGACCGAGAGCAGGGAGAAAGAGGAAGCGGGGAGCAGGAAGAGAGAGGACTAAGAGGGTGAGTAGGGGGAGAGGAGAGCTGGAGACAATGGAGAGTGGTGGGAGCAGGTGGAGAGAGGATGGGGAGTGGGGAGGAGAGAGGATGGGAAGTGGGGAGGAGAGAGGATGGGGAGTGGGGAGGAGAGAGGTTGGAGAGTGGGGAGGAGAGAGGATGGGGAGGAAAGAGGTTAAGTAGAGGCACTAGCAGGCAGGAAAGATGCTTGATGATACTTTCTCTTTTTAAAATCTGGGGAAAGTTTTTTTCCTTAGGAATAGTTGGTGTAAGTGGAATCTACAGTTATTTCAGAGCCTCATTGGCAGACATGTTAATCATCGTTAGGACTAGGAACTTGGGAGAAGTAGCACGAGGGCTGTAAGTGGGGAAAGGGCAGTCCCAGGGGAGGCTGGCGGCAGGAGAGGCTCCTTTAGGGTGTTGATTGCTCCCCCATCCTGGCTGGGCAGAGTTGCCCCCACTCCTGGGGCCAGCACCCTGGCAGAGAGTCTGGGCTGGGGATGGGACAGGTCCTGGCAGTCGTCCGGCACACCATTGGCAAAGGAGAGCTTTGGCCCTGACTTCCAGTGAAGATGGCATGGTGCGGGGGTGGGGGGTGGACATTAGGTTAAGCAGTGACTGCAGTTAGAAAGGGACTAACTTGTAGCCAGAGGTTTATTTCTTTAAATCCTGTTCCATCTTTTATTCTGCATTTAAGACACAGTGAATGGGTCTGCTGGTTTATGTGTAGGCACGAGTGTTGAAGGTCCCCAGTTTATTCATTAGTAAGAAGGTTGACAGGGTAATGCATGGACTCATGCTCATCTGACCAGGCTCCGGGAAACTCCGCATGGCGTGGGGTGGCGGGCTGGGCCGGGGCCGGGGAAGACACACAGAGGCCCATGCAAACCAGAGCCTGCACCTCAGTGTGGACGGCTGCGGCCTCTGCTTCTGCTTTAGGTCTGAAGGGAGGAATCGGGAACCAAAGAGAACCCCTGAGCTGAGCTGACTGCTCCCCAGAAGTGCTGAGACACACCACAGGGACCCGTCTCAGGGCCCTGGCAGCCGGGCTGAGGACCCTTGTCCTAGAATTAGTAAGCAGGTCAGGGGACTGGAACCCGGGCCGCTGGGCAGTGTTCTGAATGACCACCTGCCACGGTTTATGGACCAAAGGGTATTCTGCCTGCTGTTAATTCTCCGCCCCAGGCAGATGCTCAGTTCTCCACACACAAGGCCCCCGGTGAGCTCAGAATGGACCCCGCCAACACCAGCCCCAGTAGACAACCAAAGGAGCACTGGGCAGTCAGAAACAAGTTTATTAAAAACAGTGGGGGCTGCCCTAACTGGTTTGGCTCAGTGGATAGAGCGTCAGCCTGCGGACTGAAGGGTCCCAGGTTTGAGTCCAGTCAAGGGCATGTACCTTGGTTGCAGGCACATCCTCAGTAGGGGGTGTGCAGGAGGCAGCTGATCGACGTTTCTCTCTCATCGATGTTTCTAACTATCCTTCTCCCTTTCTCTCTGTAAAAAGTCAATAAAATATATATTTAAAAAAAATAAAAATAAAATAAAAACAGTGGGGGCCCCATGCATGCAATTCATGCAAGGGGCTCAGCCCCCGCCGCCGCGGCTTTGTCCGGAAGGTGGTCCAGAAGGATGTCTGGTCTAATTAGCATGTTACATTTTTATTATTACAGATGTCAGGTGTATTTTTGAGCTGTAGGCATAAAACAGCGGGGTTGTTCTCAGTCCCAGAGTAAAATCCTTGCCGGCCCCTGGGGTGGAATTCAGCACCCCCGCGTCTCTCCCTGTTCCCTAGGGAGCCCCAGTCCAGCTCCAATTCCCACTCATCTATGCTCCCCGGGATCCTGGAAGTGCCCGGCCTGGGCCTGCACCAGGGGGCACGCTCACAGAGTGACCCGACTCCTCTGGCCAGGCCCAAGGCTGGGACAGTGAAGTAGGTGGGTCTTGCAGCCTGGATGGAGGGCCCAGCGATTCTCAGAGGACAGGAGACAACTGCCAGGCAGCCTGGGAGGAGCTCAGAGCCCACAGCTGGGTGCTTGGATGTGCCCATGGAGGCTGCCAAGGCCCCTGGGAGCCCTCTGCGAACAGAGACAGAGCCCCTCGGGGCCACGTGAACCCAATGCCTGTTTCTGTGCCCAGCAGCTCTGTCTCATGGAGACCAACATAAGTCTTACTTGGTGTATTTTTGAGCCATGTCCTCTGTGGGAATGAAGAGAGGCGTGCTCATTTGGGGTTTGGGTTTAGCCGGCATTTGCCATCCTCCTGTTTGCCCAGCAGTGTGCTCCCTGCCAGGCCTCAGAGTGGGGGGGCCATCCTCTGCCTGGCCCTGGCAACCTGAGCCTCCCTGGAAATGGGCTGTGCAGGGGCTGTGGTCACCTCCCCCTCTGCCTCCAGGACTCCACCCTCCTGAGTAGGGAGCCCTCCCTCCATCTGGCACACAGCTGTCCCTCTGTGGACGTAATAGGTGAACTCTCATCAGGACTGTGCATTTGGTAACCAGTGAGGGGCTTTCTCGCTCTCCCCCAGCCTGCGTGTGTGAACATCAGAACAGTAGTCAAACCCGGGCCAGGTGGGTTCCTCACTCCTGGGTCCCCAACCAACTCTGGCCTCACAAGAGCATGTTGGGCCCGGCTGGCATGGCTCCGTGGTTGAGCGTCAACCTGTGAACCAGGAGGTCACGGTTTGATACCTGGTCAGGGCACATGCCCAGGTTGCAGACTCAACCCTCCAGTGTGGGGCATGCAGGAGGCAGCTGATCAATGATTCTCTGTCATCACTGATGTTTCTGTCTTTCTCTCCCTCTCCATTCCTCTCTGAAATCAATAATAATAATGAACATGTTGGTCCTCAGATACCAGAAAAGCTGTTGTAGGTAACCAGGGTTTAATTTTCTTACGTCAGAACTTGTGAATTCCTAGGAGATTGTGTATGTGCTCAGTGGGGGTGGGGTGTTTGTGTGTGTGTGTGTGTGTGTAGAAGTGGTGTGTCCACGCATGTGTGCACACTTGTGGGGCTTGATCGGCTTCGAAGTTTTCTCTTATTTCCATCTAAGTTTCAGAATTGGGAGAGGACCCTCCAAGCCCAGGGTCCAGGATGGAGGGGGACAGGAGGTTGGGGAATAGGACAAGGAGTTAGGTGTGGGGACAGGAAGAGCTTAGACACATGGATTTTGCCAGTGGATAAAATGAAAGCGGTGCACCCCCGGTATCCAGCACAGAGCCTGTCCCATAGGGAGAACCCAGCTATATTCACCAAAAGAAGGAGGGGAGGAAGGAAGGAAGATGAATAGAAGGGAGGATGGAGAAAGGATAGAAGGGAGGATGGAGGAAGGATAGAAGGGAGGATGGAGGAAGGATGGAAGGGAGGGTGGAGGAATGATAGAAGAAAGGGCTGCTGAGTGACAACCTTCTCTTATTTCTGAGCTCCTTGGAGAACTGCAGAGAGAAATGGGCTGCCCCTTCCCACAGCCCCATCTCTGGAAGCCTTTGTGTCCAGTCCTCTCTGTTCTCACACTCCTCTCCTTTCTCTGTCCCTCTCTTTTAGGGCTTTGAAGACCCCAAGGACAAGTGAGTGACGTGCCCTTCATGATTCCTGGGGCATACCTTCAGATCTGCCTCATAGCTTTGTTTCCCCACGCTCCACGGGGAAGGAGCCCACACGCAGTCTTGGCTGAGTGTCCGGAGCCCACGGCAGATAAGAGATGGCCAGCCCGGGCCATCCAGCAGAGAGGCTGGGCCCCGACACTGCCCATATTCAGTCTCCACTCCACACACACACACACACACACACACACACACGTGTGCACACACAAAACTACATGTGTGCACACTCTGCACATGCATGTGTACATACACACACATGTGTGCAGCTCGCAGGAAAGTGCAGGCCTGCCACAGTGGTCACACACAGTGCCCGGCCACATCCCAGTGCCCTGAGGGAATGTCACTTCCCAGTTCTCAGGGGCTGTCAGAAATTCCACGTCATTTTAGTTCAGCACCCAAAGATCATGCAACCTTCCCAGAGAGTGCCTGAGCCAGGTTAGAGCACCGGGTGGCCACAGTCCCTGGGCAGAAGTCTCACCTCTTGATCTCGGCTTTCATTTCTGAATGATGGTACAGCCAGAAAGGACAGAGCAGAGACTGTTATCTGTGGGGAGAAAACAATTAAACCTTCCATAGTAACTCATCTATATATATATAAAAGCTTAAGCGACCGTTACTATGGAATGACCAGAATGACTGGATGACTGGTCGCTATGACGCACACTCACTGCCAGGGGGCAGAAGCTGCCCCCAGCCCGCAGGCCCCAATCACTGATGGGGCTTGCCAGCCAACTTGTTGGCTCCTCCCCGTGGCCGGCAGGCTTCAATCACCTGAATGGGGCCGGGTCCCGGGGCTGGGACGGGAAACCGGGGGTGGGTGGCGGCGTGGGGGCAGTGAGGGAAGGAGGAGGTGGGGAGGTGCGGAGGCAGAGAACTTGATTGGCCCTGATCACCGGGCCAGGCCTAGGGACACCACCTGTGCATGAATTTTGTGCACTGGGCCTCTAGTCTTGTGATAACGTACTAATACATCAATAGAGTCAGAAAAGCCAGCGGATCTGAGACTTAGGCAGTTTTCTACCCATGTGTGCAGGTGTCAGGAGGGGGTCCTGGCCTCAGTCTCATCTTCCCCACATCTTATTAGGGCTGATCTGGGTCTCTCTCCTGGATCCCTGAGCACAGGCAGAGCCACCGGTTAGCAGCGCCCCCTGGTGGTCAGCCTGCCTGGTGTCTGCCCCTCTTGCTCCCCAGGAACGCCCAGGAAAGTGCAAACCCCGAGGATGAAGTGGACGAGTTTCTGGGCCGTGCCATTGACGCCAGGAGCATTGACAGGCTGCGGTCTGAGCATGTTCGCAAGTTCCTCTTGACCTTCAGGGAGCCTGACTTAGAGAAGAAGGTAGGCAGCCTGAGTGGGAAGCAGGCTCCACGCAGAACCAGAGCCAGCGGGAGGGAAACAAGGCAATGGCCGGCTCCCTCCGTCTCCATCACTGTTGGAAAAGCCCTTCTCGTCCCCTCCGCTTCCCCAGCGCTGATGCTGCACTACCCAGGAGCTGCAGATGTTAGGGAGACCTCCTTGTTTGGCAGGAATAAATCTTAACCTCCTGTGCCTCATTTCCTAAGCCAGGAAATGGAGATATTTAGCATACTTACCTCAAAGGGTCATACTGAGGATTAAACCAGTCCATATATTTAAAACACATACAACAGTATCTGCCACATCGTATGTGTTCAATAAATGTTAGTTGCTGTTTGTATTAGTTTTGTTGTGTTGTTATCATTATCATTGCCAATGGACCACCGAGCTACACTGAACCTCAAAGTATTGAAATTGGAAGGGGCAGTCAGTCTCCTTAAATCATGGCTGAGAGAGCTAAAGCTCACGTAGTTGCGCTAGTAGGTGTGCCCTGGGCCACCCTGTGAAGTAGTGACAGGGCCAGAACCAGTCCCGGGCTCAGGGTCTTTGCTCCATGTCACCGCGTCTTCCTGATGCTCGGTTCAAATGAGCTCATGGGAACTCCTGTCGTCATCGAGTAAAGCAACCCTAAGTAGAAGAGAAAGCGATAGGGGGGAACGTACTCTGTCTACTAGCACCTATGGACGGACATGGATCACCTTCTCTGGGGACTCCGTGCCAGCCCAGCCTCTGCTCAAGCGGCTGGTTGGTGTGGGGGGAGCTGGGGCTGGGGGTCAGGACTCTGGGGATGAGCTGTGTGATTTTGGACAAGTCCTGTGACCTCTCTGAGCCCCATCTTACTCCTCTCTGAGACAGCAGCGGTCCTATGCCTACTTCCTAGTGTGCTTGCCAGGTGCGTGTCCTAGCATGTAGATGGTGCTCGGTAACTTTAGCCGTGATCATTATGAATTACTCCCACGGTGATCTGGCCTGTGGAAAGTTTCTGGTTTGACACAGTTCAACTCCTCTCCCCACAAGCATCACCTTATGGTGATTTGGGCTGGTTTCCCAAGAGCTCAGGCTCGCACTGGTCCTCGGGTCTTCCAATCCTGGGACCGGGCTGCCTGGTGTGTCGGGAATGGAGCGGGGCTGGAGCGGACAGGGCTGGTGTCTCTGGCCCTCACTCTGCCGTGTCCTCTCAGTACTCCAAGCAGGTGGACGACCGATTCGGTGCCTACGTGGCGTGTGCCTCGCTCGTCTTCCTCTTCATCTGCTTTGTCCAGATCACCATCGTGCCCCAGTGAGTACCCATCCTCCTTGGGTTCCTCCTCCGGCTACAGGGTCTCCAGGCGTTTGAGGGGAGGTCATGTAGTGGAGCAGAGGCGGGAATCTGGGCTGAACTTGCTCAACAGGGAGAGAAGTTTGCAAACATGTCCTTGATGGACCGGGAAGCCGGGAGCCTGACTCCTCTGTCACTGGGAGGCCACGTGCTCATTCGAGGGCGGAAACCTCTCCCTGGGCACTGCCCCGCTGTATGGGGTCTCCACACCACGGTGCCCACTGAATCACCCAGATTGGCCAGGCTCCTTTCCGCGTGGCCTTTGGTTTTTGCAAAAAAAAAAAAAAAAAGCAACACATCTTTCAAAGATAAAGGTTATTTGCTATGCTGGACAATTTGAAGAATGGACTTTAGGTTCTGAAAGCTTTCTCAGAGACATGCTCCTGAACTCTCTGAGGACTGGCTGTGTCACTGAGAGGCCCGTGGCTTCCTAGGGGATCACTCTGAGTGGCAGTGGGGTTTTAGAAACGATGTGTTAGTCATTCACAGTAGGGTCGTACCTAGGCAAGAAAATAAACTGCTCCACATTTTAAACTTTTTATTATGCAATATTTCAAACATGCAGAAAGGTAAAGTAATTAATATAATTATTACCCATCCCCTAGACCAGCGGTTCTCAACCTGTGGGTCACGACCCCTTTGGGGGTCGAACGACCCTTTCACAGGGGTCGCCTAAGACCATCGGAAAACACATATATCATTACATATTGTTTTTGTGATTAATCACTATGCTTTAATTATGTTCAATTTGTAACAATGAAAATACATCCTGCATATCAGATTACGATTCATAACAGTAGCAAAATTACAGTTATGAAGTAGCAACAAAAATAATTTTATGGTTGGGGGTCACCACAACATGAGGAACTGTATTAAAGGGTCGTGGCATTAGGAAGGTTGAGAACCACTGCCCTAGACATAATAATTGTTAATATTTTACATTTTTTCTGTTACTTTTTATTTTTAAAATATATATTTTTAATTGCTTATTTAGAGAGTGAGGAAGGGAGAAGGAGGGAAGGAGAGAGAGAGAGAGGGTTCGGAGGGAGGGAGGGAGAGAGAGAGAGAGAGAGAGAGAGATAAACATCGATCAACTGCTTTCCACACACACCCAACCAAGAATCGAGCCTGCAACCTGGGTAGGTGCTCTGACTGGGAATCAAATTGGCGACCTTTCCATGCATGAGACAATGCTCAACCAACTGAGCCACACCTGCTAGAGCTTTTCTGTTTTTTGTTTTGTTTTGTTTTTTAAAGTAAATTTTAAGCACAAGGACATTTTGCTCCTGAAAACCTCAATATACACCTATTTTAAGGGCATTTTCCTTCTTAACCACATTGCCTTATACACCAAACAAAGTTAACACCATTTCTCTACCATGAACATCTAATACCACGTTCAGGTTCAAATTTCCAAAATGCCTTCTACGGTTAGTTTATTCACAGCCATGATCTACTCAGGACCCACTAGTTGCCTTCGGTTATGTCTCCGAAGTCCAACTTAATCTAGAAGAGTCCCCTCACCCGAACGCCTTCTGTTCTTCATTTTGAAATAATTGTAGACTCGGAAAAGTTACAAAAATACTACAGAGCATTTCTTTACATCCTTTATCCAATTTCCCTAATGCTGACAACTTACATAACCTAAGTAGAATAGTCCAGCCCAGGAACTGAACACTACAATGATACTCTTAACTAATCTACAGACCATATTCTAATTTCATCAGGGTGCCCACAAATAGCCTTTTTGTGGCCCAAGAGCCAGTCCAGGACCCCACACTGCAGTCCACTGTATCTGCTTAGTCCCCCCGAATCTGTGAGACTGTCTCAGCCTTTTCGTGTCCTTCACGGCCGTGGCCCTTTTGATGAGCACCGGCCAGTGAACGTGTAGACTGTCTCTCCGTTTGGGTTTGCCTGATGTTGTCTCATGATCACATTGAGGTTATGCTTTTTGACAAGAACCCACAGCAGCGATGCCCTCAGTGCCCCTGTCAGGAGGTATGTGATGTCCATGTACTACTCAACGCCTTTTATTTCTAATGGCACTTTCTGCTGAAGAGCTGGCTCTCACCTTTACCGGCTGTGACTCTGCCAGGATTCCGCAGCCGAGAACCAGACCCTGGCAGCAGCTGCTCCTGGAGGCCCGGCACGAAGGTGTGCAGAGCTGCTGGGGCTATGGGTTCTCTGGGCATAGGACCCCATTTTTTCTCAATTGAAGGGAGCTACAGGTGTAAATAAGCAACCTAGACTTTCTGTCCTGTTGCAAATAAAAGCCGCCTTCATTTGGCTGCACAATCCTGCAGCTCGGCTTGGGCGGGCGGATGTGGGGTAGGGGGGGTGTTATCCCAACACCCTGCCTGCCTCCAGCTGCTTGGTTCCCTCCTCAGGCCGCAGGGCCAGGTTGCTAAGGCATCGAGGGAGGTCATTCTCTAGCGTCCTCTCTCTGTAGAAGCTAAAAGCTACTTTAAAAGTCTTTCTTTCGCTCGGAAGAGAGTTCTCTTCCCTGTTCAGGCTGTTTAGGGCAGCTAAGTGCTGGCTTCCGGAGGAGCCTGGGACAGAGACCTCACTTGAACGCCTCCCTAGAGGCCTCCCCTGCCTCCTCAAGCCCATCACTTGCCTTCAACCTGCCACACGCCTGGCATCCCCGGGCCACTGCCCTCCCTGAGAGAGAAGGGATTTCAGTGGCCTCCCTCCTGTGATGGGGTGGGGTGTGCCTCTCCTGGGCCAGCCCCTGCCCCAGGAGCGCCAGTGGAAGGTTCCAGATGCAAAGTCACTTGCAGCTCTTTTGTCTGAGGATTCTGGTCTGCGGTGGACGTTAAGGTCACCTGTGCTCTGCCTCAGTTTTTGTTGAACTGGCTCGGAATCGGAGAGCACAAATGGAGCAGGCCTTGGGGGCCTTGGCAGTGGGAGGGGACAGGGTTTAGGGGCTCTGCCCTTCGAAGGGACATGACTGCTGTTTCTCAGAGTGACTGGTTGAGCAGCTTGACAAATGCATTTCTATAAAGATGGCTGTTTATCAAATCAGTTTTAGCCTTCATAATTATCAAGCGAGCCATGGGTGGCTGCTTGGAGGGAGGGAATAACCAAGTGATTTTTTAAAAATATTTTTTTATTGATTTCAGAGAGGAAGGGAGAGGGTGAGAGAGATAGAAACATCAATGATGAGAGAGAATCATTGACCTGCTGCCTCCTGCACGCCTCCTACTGGGGATAGAGACCCTGATCAGACTCGAACCTGGAACCCTTCAGGTCATAGGCTGACGCTCTATCCACTGAGCCAAACCAGCCAGGGCCCAAGTGATTTTTAAGATGAGTCCTTCCAAGGTAAATGAAGGGAGTGTGTGGGTACTTAAGGTAAATGAAGGGCGTATATGGGTAGTTAAGGTAAATGGAGGGAGTGTGTGGATAGCTAAGAATTAGGCAAAGTGCTGAGCAGGTTTCTCCCGGTTCTCCACTCGGGGCCCTGTGGCTGCTGCTCTGCAGGAAGGCGCGGGAGGGTGGGAAGGGCAGGAGCCAGACTGTCACAGAGGAGGGTCCTGGATGGGTTCACAAGGCTGCGTGAGCCCTTCTGAGTGAGTCGGGCTAGGGAAGCCTGGGCGGTGGGAGCAGGGGAAATGGAGCCCCTTCTGCTTCCTTCCCAGGGGCGCTCAGAGCCCCAGCCCAGAACTGTGAGGAGGGCGCTGCAGCCGGCTTGCGGGTCAGCCCGCGAGAAGCTGTCACCCGCCTCCTGGACGTGACTGCACTTCCATCCCGTCATCTCCTCTCTCCTTCAGCTCCGTGTTCATGCTGAGCTTCTACCTGACCTGTTTCGTGCTGCTGACCTTGGTGGTATTTGTGTCCGTGATCTACTCCTGTGTGAAGGTGAGTCTGGCTGGCACCTGAGCCGCACCCGCTTCCTTGCCTCCGTCTTCCCTTCCATCCCAGCCCACTGACGGGCCCTCCCAGCAGCCTAATGGCCCCACTCGGGATCGGGGTGTGTGGTGCTGGGTCACAGCTCTCGGCTGGCCCGGGCCGCAGGCTGGACTGAGGGGGTGGTCGGTCCATGGAGCCTCGTTTGTATTGACTGTGCAATCAGCCTTCATAGATCTTTACAACAAGAAGATGGTGTCGCCCCCTCTCTTGTCTGTCCCTCGGTGTCCGGCGGGTGGAGGAAGGACACCTAGCACAGTGCCTGGCATGAAGCAGTGGTCAGATATTTGCTGAAAGGATGGGTGTGGAAGGGACCTCTCACCATCCCCCTCAGTGTCCCCGTGGGCCCTGGAATGGGCCCCGGAGGGGACCGAGGAGATGATGGCTTTGGAGCTGCTCATTGTATGGACGAGGAGGAGGCACAGAGTGGTGAGTGGTTCAGTCAGGGCCACACAGCGGGTAACGTGGGCACAAGGCCCTGTCCTGTGTTTCCCTCTCATGCCTTCTCTGAGGCGTGCTGTGCCCACCAGTCAGCTGTGTCCTGGGAAGGACCTGGCCACAGGCTGTTCAGGTCCATTGTAGCAAGTACAGGTTCCCATTTGCCTTATCCACCAAGTCTGGCTCTTCTTTTCTTTCCAGTGGATTCAGAATTCCCTGGGTGGAGGGGCCAGTCGATCCCAGAGAGCCCTCTGTGCCCAGGCAGGGACCAGCCCCTCCAGCTTCTGCCTTGGCCACTTCTCTGCTCCTCCTGACACTCGCTCGGAGCCACGCCCCTGGGCTGGGGTGGGGTGGGCCAGGCCCTGCCATCACCCCTGTACACTCCTCAGTGGGCACATATCCTCCTTCCGGAAGGGGTCCTTCATGAGGGTGTTAACTGTTTCATCACCTGATAGCAAGGTCTTGGTGGACTGACTGTCAGAACCGGAAGGCCTTGGGAATGATCTGGCGTGGTGCAGCCCTCCCTGATCAGGTGCCCAGGGAGGTGCTCCTGAAGTGGATGCCCAGGGAGGCACTTGGCACATGGAGCCATGTTGGAAGCTGGTGGCTTCGCTGCATCACAGGCTCATCCTGGTTCCTTGTCCCTCCACTGGTTCTCCCTCAAGGCTCTGTGTTCAGGCACCTCCTGCCTTGGGTCCTCTCTTTCATTGTCAAGCCTTCCCCACCCCCAGCCTGCTAGTTCCCCAGTAGGAGCCCCGCTTCCTTCATCTCACGGCTGTAAGAGCACACCACATACTCACAGGAGGCAAAAGGTGGAGACAGCCCCGTGTCCATCAGCAGATGGACAGGTAAGCCGAGTGGTATATGTATACAATGGAACGTTATCTGCCCATAGAAAGCAGTGGTGTTCTGACACATGCTACCACATGGCTGAACCTTGAGGACATCATGCTAAGTGAGAGAAGCCAGACACAAAAGAACATATATTGCATGATTCCACTTATATGAAATATCTAGAATAGGCAAATTCATAGAGACAGGAAGTAGATTACAGGACACCAGGGGTCGGAAGGAGGGGGATGGGGAGTTACTGGCCAGTGGTACAGTTTCTGTTTGGGGTGATGAAGGGGTTTTGGAAAGAGATGGCAGTGATGATTGCCCAACATGGTGCATGTAATTAATGCCACTGAATCGTGCACTTAAGATGAATAACATGGCACATTTTATGTCATTTATATTTTACCACAATAAAAAGAGTCAAAACAACCTTTAAAAAAAGTACATGATAGCTAAAAGGGCCTCTTAAACATTTATTCTGAACCCCAAAAGGATCTTTTCTCTTTATCAGCTGAGGCAAAGTCATTGTTTGAGGCACATGTGTAGTCTATGGAAGCCAGACCAAAGCTACATGTGGTCTACAGTACTTAAACCACAACAGATTTCCCTCTTTCCTCCTAGCTGCTTGGGTAGATCTGGGCTACACGGATTTCACTGGATCTGTGTTCCCCATCTGCATGTGCCTCTGATGGTGCTGGAGGAGGAGGAGTTAGGGGAGGAGGAAAAGAGGGGAGCCCATTTGTATCCGCACCACCCTTACTTCCCAGCCCTCCTTCTCCCCTGCCTGCACTGGCCATTTTGAGTTAGTGCTTTGGTCTAGTGAATTCTTTTCACCCCTGTTCACGGTTATTCATGGGGAGCATTCCTGCTTCCTCTGTTTTATTGAGTCTACCTAGTCTGTAATCACTGCCACACTCAGTCAGCGTGTTCTCCGATCCTGCATCCAGCCCTGTGGTCTTTCTGATGCTTCTGAGGAGACCCAGTTTCCTCAGGGGGAGGATGGTGGGTGGAATGCCCACCTCCCCACCCCCAGTTGGTCCCCCACCAGCCCCACCCTCCAACCAGGGTGACCACTCTTCCATCTTGCAGATGTAGAGCTTCTGTAAAGACTTTGTTTAGGAAAAAGTCCTCTGTGGCCGGTCAAGTCTGGAACCTGCTGAGCTGGGCCAGGAGCGGAACTCACTCTGACACCCACCCTGGGTCCCGTGCTTCCCTCCCAGCCTCTCAACAAGCTGTCCTCTCAGCATTTGTTTACTTTCTGGGAAGTAGACCCCAACCTGAGAAGTTGTTGGTGGAACAGACGCCTCTTTTGTTTCGTTATTTTCCTCTCCGCTTTCATGTTGCCCGTTGGCTGTCTGCACAGTGAGACATAAAGGGGCAGTTCTCCCTGTTGGGGTGCACACGGGCAGCCTGGCCCTCCCTCCTGATGCAGGACGACATGGGCTTGGCACTAGCACAGTCGCACCTGCCTGCAGGCGGACTGACAGCGCTGATTCGGTCACCTTTGCAGGTATTTGCCACGAAGCTGATGGACTAGAATTTTCAGTGTCGCTCTGCTTTCCCTCTGAGAACATTTGCTCGTTACCAGATCTCAGTGTTCATCACATTCCCACGGTTTCTCAGCCTCGGCTGGTGGCTTTTCCCTGAGATGCAGCAGTTCCTCCCGTACCCCGCCCGGTACAGGCGCCGCAGAGACAAAACCAAGCGGTTCCGTCAGACGTGGCTTCTTTCTCCATTTTATTGACTTTCCCATTTCCCCCAGACAATGTGCACTTACTTTCCCAAATTGTCCATATTGTAACCCTTTTGAAGAGAGGAGCGTGAAGAAAGTGGCGGCTGAATTGGTGGTCATCCGGGCTCCGCCAGGGAGCCATTCCCACTCCTTCCTGCTGGGCATTTTCCCTTCCTACTCGCTGAGGGCTGTGGTCGCCTTGCCACTGGGTTTGTCTTATCTCTTCCTGACCAGCGTGGCCAAGTTCACATACAGCCCCATCTGGCTCTCGGAAGCTCATTTGGTGCCTTGGTCTTCATCTTGTCCCGAAGTCCTGGTCTCGTTTCCAGAGCACATCAGCTACCCGCCTGAACCCATTGTCTCTGGGGTGCCTTGCCCTGAGGATCACCCCTGAACACTTCCTCCTGGTGATGCTGCCTTGTCTGAACCTGCACACGGCACTCTCCCCTTCCCTTGGCATCCGTGCCGCCCTGGGCCCGCTGCTGCTCTTCTTAGAGGGCCATCCTAAATCCCTCCCGCCATCACACGTGGTCCACAGCCTCAGAGAATTTCAGATCAGAAGGGGCCTGAGCAGTGAGGCAGCCCTGACACCCCCCTGAGGCTGGACTCCCTCTATCATAACCCTGCGAGGCATGGGCCAGCCTCTGCTTGGTCACCTCCAGGACGGCGAGCGAGCTCACATCTCCTGAGCGCAGCCCGCCCCCCCCCCCACCTCCTTGGCCAGCTCTGACTGTCCCATCCCTCTCCCTGTGGCTTCCGTCCCATATTCTGTGAAGCAGCCCAGGCCTGCCCCTTACAGTGCTGCCACTTTAGCCACCACCCAAATGGGTAGGAGAGGGTGGCTCCCTCCTTTCCCCACAGGTGGATCTGGGTCCCCTGCCTTCACTGAGGCTCATTAGCACATCCTTTCCCGAAGGCCAGACTCCTTCCCTGCAGGTTGGGGCTTGAGTACAGAGAGGCCCAGGAGTACTCAGCCACATACTTCTCTGCACATGTGTGCATGTGTGCACACGTGCATGCATGTGTGTCTATCTCCCTCATCCTCCAGGCTGCTGGTTCCCTCTTAGTTTGCATCCTACCGACCCCTGGCACTTGGATGTCTGAGCTTTTAGGCTCTGTCCGCTCTGTACAGTCTCCACAAGCCTCTCCTCTCCCCACAGCCTGAAGGAGGCTAAGTCTCACCTGGCTGGCTGTCCTCTCCACCTTCCACCTGGCTGCCGCCCACAGTGTCTAACACAGGGTCTTACGACTCTACCCCTCCCCTCTTAAGTATCTTCTGTCCTTAGGATTCCCACACTCACCTTCCCACCACCATGCTCAGGGCCACCTTCTGTCTGTTAGGGAGAGGATGTTGGCAGACACGTGTTCACCGACATTTGAGTCAGGAAGTCTAGGTCCAGATCCCAGCTGTGCCACTGGAGCTGTGCTTCCTGAGCCTCTAGGTCAGTGGTTCTCGACCTTCCTAATGCCACGACCCTTTAATACAGTTCCTCATGTTGTGGTGACCCCCAACCATAAAATTATTTTCGTTGCTACTTCATAACTGTAATTTTGCTACTGTTATGAATCATAATGTAAATATCTGATATGCAGGATGTATTTTCATTGTTACAAATTGAACATAATTAAAGCATAGTGATTAATCACAAAAACAATATGTAATGATATATGTGTTTTCCGATGGTCTTAGGCGACCCCTGTGAAAGGGTCGTTCGACCCCCAAAGGGGTCACGACCCACAGGTTGGCGACCCACAGGTTGAGAACCGCTGCTCTAGGTGGTTTTTATTGCATCGACTTGGCCGGTGAAGAAAATAGGTTCAGAGAGGTTAATAAGGCTGCTTTCCCAGTTCCTGGAACTCGGAGGCAGTACAGCTGGGATTTAAATCCAGGTGGTTCTTGACTTCAGAGCCCACAGGCCTTCCCCTCCAGGACACTGCCTTTGTTAATATGCCCAGCTGACCCCTGAGAGGCCAGAGATGACAGCAGCGGTGTGATGCCTGGTCAGCTTCTGCCTGCCTTCTTTTGCCTCCAAAGTTTTCATCTTGGAAAAGACTTTTCTGCTTTTGTATTAGCTCTTTGAAAAAAAAAAAAAAAAAAAAAAGCTGTTTTCTTAAACTTTCTGCCATCTCTGCAGTCTGGCTCGACGTCACAGACGGGAACCGGGCGCCAGGGAAGTTATCGATTTGCCTGGAGACTTTCAGAGTGGCCAGGATCAAAGCTGTCCCTCACCCAGCAGGGCTTATTAATTATGTCCCCGCTCCTGTATTTATATTATATTGATTTGAGTTCATTAGACTGGGAATATACTGGTTTGGAATTTCTTTCATTGATCCTTTCATTGATCCTCTGATTGGGAGCGAGCATTGAGCAGCTAGTTTGCACAGACACAATGTCCTGCCGTAAAAATGCCCTCCCGGGTCTGCCTGCAGCCCGCGAGGGACTCTGAGCCGTGTGAAGTTTTGTCATCCACGCTGTGGTTATTAGAAAAGGTGGGATTTAGGCTCAACATGTTGATGAACTTTTCAATTACAGGAGATGAGGTACTCTATAAAGCAGGGCAGGATGGCACATCTTTTGCAGATTTCAAAAAGCAGCAATTCCTGGGTTCTGGCTGAGGTTTTAAAGTCAAGAGTGGATCTTTTGAAAGGGTGACAAGGGATGTTGGCCTGTAGCAAGCCAGTGCACTAAGACTCAATCATTCATTAGATGTTAGAATGATATTCTGGATTGGATTTCTTTTTAAGCCTGCAGTTCTTCTCCTAGCCTCTGGGTGGCCCCTGTGGGGCTCCTGGTCCCCCTTGACTAGGCAGCCCATGGGCATATCCTGCTCCGATCCTTGGTGATTGCAGAATAATGAAGGAAACCCTTCAGCTGATGGATAGGGTGATCAGAACTAAAACAACTTAAGCAACATGGGTGGGGGTGGGGATGGAATGGCAAAATTTGAATCAGGCAAAGATTCGAAACCATCTGTCACATCATTTCAGAGTGAGATCCTGATGCCAGTGCCAAACTGCTTCCCCCAGCTGCGAAACCCAAAATTCCTTTAATAGGAAACAAGGACCTTCATTTTTACTGGCAACATAGCTCTTTAGAATGCAAATATTAACTAAATTTTCTATTGAATTTAACAGCTTACACAGCACTTTCCAATGCATCATTTCCTTGGGTCTTCTTAGCCACCTTGAAGATATTCCCTACTTACTGATGAGGAAACTGAAGCTCAGAGCCCTTCCCCACTTCCCCAGGACCAGACAGCTAGTCAGAGGCAGAGCAGGATTTTTACTAAATGCTTTATTGAGATATAATTCGCATACCATAAAATCCACTTTATAAAGGTGGCTGGAATTGTAATTTAGTAGTTTCTGGTATATTCATAAAGTTGTGTAACTATCATCACTATCTAATGCCAGAACATTGTCATCATCCCCCAAAGAAACCCCACACCTGTCAGCAGTCACTGCACGTCCCCTGCTTGCCACAGCCACGGCCACCTCTAATCTACTTTCTGTCTCTGTGAATTGGCCTGTCCTGGACATCCTATATAATAAATGGCTAATATGCAAATCGACCAAATGTCAGAACGACGCTATGATGCGCACTGACCACCAGGGGGCAAATGCTCAACACAAGAGCTGCCCCCTGGTGGTCAGTGTACTCCCACAGGGGGAGCGCCGCTCAGCCACAAGCCGGGCTGATGGCTGGCGAGCACAGCAGCGGTGGTAGGAACCTCTCCTGCCTCCGTGGCAGCGCTAAGGATGTCCAACTGTGGCTTAAGCCCACTCCCCGCAGTCAGACATCTCCCCTGAGGGCTCCTGGACTGTGAATGGGCGCAGGCCGGGCTGAGGGACTCTCCCCCACCCCCCGCCCCGAGTGCACAAATGTCAAGCACCAGGCCTCTAGTTTTGTATAAATGTAATCATACGGTATGTGGCCTTTTGAAATTGGTCTCATTTACTTAGCATCGTATTTTGAAGGTTCATCCATGCCATACCATCATGTAACAGCCCTTTATTCCTTTTTATGGCCAAATAATATTCCTTTGTGTGGCTGTATCACATTTATTGATCCCTTCATCAAACTGATGGGCTCTTGGGCAGTTTCCATCCCCCCTGGTCTGCCGGCTTCTTCTTAGTCTATGCCGGTTGGGAGATGCAGAGGACATGGTGGACAAGGCCGACTGTGTCAGACTTACTGGGGCCCGAAATTACCAAAACCACTGTGAGTCTTTTAGTGGACGTACAGTTTGTCTAGTTGAAGGGAATACGGGGAGGGTTGGGCGAGGGAAATGGCAGATCCATGAGCGTCCTGCTGAAAAAGGCTCCCTGAACTCACTGGTCCGTGGCCCACCCTCCTGCTCACAGGCTGCTCTGCCCCTTCTCACCAGCTCCCCCCCTTCCTCCACACGCCGGACCTCATCTCTTTCTTCTGAGGAGCCTTCTGACCCTCTGTGACTCCTCAGCTGCCACCTACTGTCCCTCCCTGTTTGTAACTCCCAGAATTCACAGTGGGTACCAGTGCTTTACCCTCTGCTTCCCTGTTGGAGTCAAGATAGCATCTTTCCTGCTTCTCTCACCTGTAAGGTCCCGGTAGACCCGCCCTGGCCAGCTGCACAACCTGGGCTGTGGCCCGGAAGCAGTGGTGCCAGGCAGGAGGTTCACACACCGGAGTGCGTCTCAGGCCTGCATCAGCTGGCCAGAGACAAAGGTGACGGGAGATCTGGTTCTATGGCGGTTTGTGGCGTGCCCACTGAATTCTGTTCTGTGTCTCTCTCTCTCTCCTCCCCCACACCCAGCTCTTCCCAGGCCCCCTGCAGACCCTCTCCAGGAAGATCGTGCGGTCTAAGATGAACAGCACCCTGGTCGGGGTGTTCACCATCACCCTGGTGTTCCTGTCGGCTTTTGTCAACATGGTGGGTGGTTCCACCTCTCCAGCCCCATTGGGTGAAACCGGGGGAGCCCTGCACCCCTCGAGCATGGGCTGGGAGGAGAGTCTCCCCCAGACCCTGGAGTTCTCCCTCCCAGGAAGTCTTCTTTGGGTCCCACCTCAGGTCTGGGATCAGGTTAACTCCTAAAGCCGCTCCCGGTCTCTGGAAGTCCCCAGAGGGTGTGTGGGAGCCCCACCCTGGGCACAGGCACTGCCGGGTCCTCAGCCTCTTCCAGGCTCCTCTCCTGTCCCTGGTCGGGATCAGGCTGCACCCAAGACGGAGAGTGAACAGGAGCCCACTGCCCTGTGGGGATGGGCCGCCCTGGCCTGGCTCCCCGCTGACTCTCCTCCCCGCCCCCAGTTCATGTGCAACTCCCAGGACCTGTTCGGCTGCCTGGCAGATGAACACAACGTCAGCACCAGCCAGGTCAACGCGTGCCATGTGGTGGAGTCCGCCGTCAACTACAGCCTGGGGGATGAGCAGGGCTTCTGCAGCAGCCCCTGGCCCAACTGCAACTTCCCCGAGGTACGGGCCCCGAGGGGCGGGTGCAGATGGAGAACCTCCCGCCCCACCCCCTCTCTGCCAAGGGCTGCTCTGAGGGACAGTCAGGGGCTTCAAGGTCACTGCCCTTTCAGTGACCTCATTCCCTCGATCTCTCTCACTCCACGTGCCAGACACCAGTGAAGGAGGCCAGCCTCCTCAACGCAACAGTAACACCAGCAATAGCACAGCCCTGCTCACACAGCACTCACCACTGCGAGGCACTGTGCTGAGTGCGTTACAGACACTTACTTTTCATCTTCACAGCAACCCTGTGACACAGATGCGGTTATTACCTCCTCTATGCAAATGAACCGAGGCACAGACAGCTTACATAAGTTCCTCAAGGTCACACAGGTAGTAAGAGGCAGAGCCAGGCTCCTGCCCAGCTCGTCTGGCTCCCGAGTTCGTGCTCTGAGCCCGGGGGTGGAGCTGTTTCTGGACCCTCGGCTTGGGCAGGACCCAAGGCTGCCTCTGGAGAACCCGGCCAAGGCCCTGCTGTGGGTCAGAGAGCAGCGGCACAAGAAAGTCACCCCTTCAAAGTGTACAGTTCAGTAGCTCTTAGTATAGTCACACACTTGTGCAGCCATCATCATGACCTGATTTTAGAACATTTCCGTCACCCTGAGAAGAAATGGTGTACCTGTGGCTTATTGGGTTTAACAATGGCTCTGAGAACCCTAGGAAGCAGCGTGCATTAAATGCCTGTGGTCCGTGAGCTGCTCCAGTCACCTCACTGCGTTTTCTTGGGGAGCAGTTTGCAAGGGAGCAGCAGGCCAGGTTTCCAACGCAGGGCATCGCCTCCATGTACTGGGTGATTCCCACACCGCAGGTCCCATTTCACATGAAGCCTGTAAGGTGATGGCAGTTTTGCCTTTTCCTGGGGAGAGGGTCCAAGCATTCATTCAACTCACAAGGGCCCAGAACTGCAGTGCGGACCCCTGGGCGGCCACAGTGGCCTCTCTCCCGTCCCTGGGAGGGAGCCTGGTCTGCCTTGCGGCACAGACAGGGCAAGGGAAACTCAGTGAGGAGCCGGACTCCGCGATGCTCCCTAGACCAGCGCTTCCCCTCCTCCTGTCCCGGGGCCCAGGCCAAGGGCTCCCTCTCCCTCAGGCACCTGGGGGGGAGGGGGGCAGGCCTAGGCCTCGCAGCCACCGCCCTCCACTCCCGCCTCTGTTCCTTCTCACATCTGGACAAGAGCCCATGGAGCTGCTGCCTGAGGGCTATTTGCTGAGAAGCAGAAGCTGTTTCTGGTCTCGCACTTGTCCCTTGGTGTCGCTCCAGGGAAGAAGCGGAGGAGTGGGAGAGAGGGCAGGGCAGAGCCTGTTCTAGTTCCCCGTTTTCTGGAGATGGGCGGTCCAGCTGTCAGTCTTCGGTCCTCACCAGCCCCACCAGTTTCAGCCTGCTTATCCCTGCTGGCTACATGCTCCAGGGCTGACCCACCCCACATGGCTGTTCTGAGTCACAAACCCTGAGGCCCTTGGGCAGCCCAGCATTAAGCCTTAGCCTCCTGGTTGTCTGGGCTCTGGGTCCCAGTGGCAATCCAGGCTATTCTTGGTGCCCCCTCCCCACCTCCCAAGGGCGGGCTTATTATCCTTGGGCTGAATTAACTGGGTCTGCCTCCCTGCTCCTTCCTCTGCCCCTGTTCCTGGTGGTGACTTGAGGCTGGTCCCGCCCCTTTCAATCACAGGGGTCCTCTGCAGCCCCTCTCGGGGTTCCCGAAGGCCTAAGGAGTCAGGAAGTCCAACCTGGGGGCGACCTCACTGCCAGCCACCGCCTTTTGGCCTCCAGCCAAGGCAGAGGCAGTGAATAGCGAGTCCCAGTGTCTGACTCAGAAATAATGATGCTAAATTTGAAAGCAAGAACAAAATAATAGATGCTGGCATGTCTGGGATTAGCACTGGGGATGGCAGAGCAGAAGGGGCCTCTGAGTCTACCTGAGTCAGCCCCTCGGTTGTCTAAGAAACTGAGGCTTGGAGGCCAGAAGACACTCCCCCAGAGTAAATCGTACAGGCCCACAGCCCCTCGTCTGAAGCCTGCCAGGGCGGATATATTTTGGACTTCCGAACTCTTCAGATTTTAAGAGGTTACCTCACACCCCCAGTGCAGTGTGCGTAGCAGCTAATAGTGAAACATGCTAATATTTCTGCAGCAAAATGTATGAATAGTCACAGGAAGCAGGATAAAGATGAGAGTTAATGGCACATCAGGTGGGTCAGGTTGCCACCACATCAGTTAGGAAAACATGTTCAGTTTTTAGAGCTTTGGATTTAAAGCTGCAAATCGGGAGTTTGGGGCCTGTGATCCCCACAGTTATTGGGGGTGCAGGGCACTGCCCCAACTCACCTCATCTCGGGTCATCGTCACCGTGTGCCCATGAGATAGGGGATTTTGCAAACAGGGAAACTGAGGTTTAGAGAGGTTGAGTACATGGCCCAAGTCACACAAACAGTGCATAGTGTATCAGGATGTAACTCCAGTCGGCCTGAGCCTGGAGCCGTGCTCTAACCATGGGCCCTTCTGACAGTGCTGGTCAAACCCAGCGCGGAGGGAGCCCCATCTGCTCGTTCCTCATCAGGGCCCTTCACATCACACCACAGGTTTGCATCAGCAGAAATATCCCCAGGCGAGGCTTCACTGAGGCCGGCTCAGGCTGATGGATGCTGGGGGGCGGGGCCCGGCCGCTGAGGCCTGCTGCTCTCTCTCCCTAGTACTTCACCTACAGCGTGCTGCTTAGCCTGCTGGCCTGCTCCGTGTTCCTGCAAATCAGCTGCATTGGGAAGCTGGTGCTTATGCTGGCCATCGAGCTCATATACGTGCTCGTCGTCGAGGTGCCCGGTGTGACGCTCTTTGACAATGCCGACCTTCTGGTCACCGCCAATGCCATGTAGGTGGCACCCTCCTCAGGCCCCCACTGGGTCTGGGCATTGCAGAAAGGTGGGAAGAGCAGGAGGCTGGGCCCTGGGCTGGAGGGGGTGGGGTGGGGGTAGAGTGTCCTGCAGCTCTGACCACCTAGTTTCTCTCCGTTTCTCCCTTTCCCAGTGGCACAGTGGCCTCAGAGTGGCTGGCCCCACTGTTTCCTCCAGTTTCCTACTCAGCCCTGCCTTTGGGCCTCAGATAATTGTCCCTGACATTTCCAGGGCAGCCTCTGAGGAGCTGTTTTCACTCCAGCTGCCTGTGCACCCTGTGCCCAGGGGTCGAGGTCACAGGGCTGGCTAGCAAGGTCTTTGGGAGCAGAGGAAGGGCCTCTGTGTTCATGGACCCTGCGTCCAGTCCCACCCAGTGCCAGGCCCTTGGACATACATGACCACTTTCCATCCTCAGCAACCCCACCAAGTAGGCCGCGCTGCCAGGGACGTTGGGTGGTTTGTGCCCGGCTCAGAGGCTCCTGCCTGTGATGGCGAGTGGTGAAGTCCCACAGTCCGGGGGAGGGGGTGTGTGGGACGCAGGGCCCCAGGCTCTCTAGCAGGCCGTCAGCCTGGCCATAGAGCGGCAGATGTCAGGTTACTGAGGGGCAAGACCTCTATCTAGCTTCCGGTCAAGTTGAGTTTCATTCTCAGCCTCAGATACACATGTGGCTATTTTCCCCGAGCCTCATTATTTCTCCCAGTAAAGTGGGAACAATAATGCCCACAGTAGTAAAATGTATATAAAGTGTAGCATGATATGCAGGACACACACCCCCGCCCAACACGCACTCAGGAAGCACGAAGAATGTGAGTGGCAGGTCCGTCCCCTGAGGAAATGTGGCAGAGGAAGGGCCCATTAGTCCCCAAGGACGCACTCGGCCTGCCGTGTTTTAGGCCCCGAGCTGGCAGTGAGGTACAGGCACTCCTTGTGAAGAGAGTATCACCTGGAAAACGAAGGTGTAAGGAAGGACCTAAGTCAGATTCAAGGAAGAGCCTCTGGTGGCCGCGTGGGGCTGTGGGCAGATGTCAGGAGACCCTGCAGCGTTGGGAGCAGGGCCGGCCGCAGCCTCAAGAGGAGGAGAGGAAGGTGGTGTGGGCCTTTCTACCCATGGGTCAGGTGGGAGTGGGAGTGGGAGCTTTGCCTCTTCTGTCTTACCTGCTCCTCCCCCACCCCTAGCCTCCCCTCCCCTCCCCTCCCTTCCCCTCTTCTCTCTTCTCCTCCTGCTGAAGTAGCAGCAGAGAATGGAGGTCATTTCTGGGCTGGGAGACCCTGACTTGGCTCTAGGGCATCACTGTCCAATAGATGAATAATGCAAACCACAGATGTAATTTCAGAATTTCCTAGTAGCTGTGTTAGCAAGGCCACATGCAGTAGCCACACACTTGCACTCAGTACTCCTTTAAGTTCAGTAGCCCCATGTGGCCAGTGGCTACCATCCTGGATGGTGCAAAGGGCTGGGGTGGGAGAGGTGGATATACCTGGGTCCCCAGGGTCCCAGGTAAAGGCTGGGTAGTGTGTGGTCATGGCACCCAGCTGCTAGGTGGTACTGGGCTTTCTGCAAGCCTCCCATCCTGAGAGCTTCCCTGGATCAGGAGGGGTGCTGGGGTTGGGGCGAAGGAACACTAGCAGTGGGAGTAGCAGTATTGGGCATGGGGGTCAGAGCAGGGTGGGTGGACACAGCAGGGTGGGGGCAGAGTAGGGTGGGTAGACA